GTTTTCACAACAAAACACGCCCAATTGCTACCCAAAACTAGCCCAATCGTGTTTCGAGGGGGGTCCCCCATTAAAAATCGCGTTCGGGGGGTAAAATGCACGTTTTTCCCCTTGGTAAATTCGCATTCCAGGGGCTAAATATCATGTTATTGTGGTCGCTTCAACCCGCGGACATGAAAAACAAGCCGCGGCAACAGTTTTAAAGTAGCCCAATTCCAATTCCAAAACCGCGGACTGAAATTCTGCATTTTAAATTCGAATATAATTCGAATTTTGATAATATTTAAGTACAAAATTCGAATTTAGTTTTTCAGCCATTTTGACAGGCCTAGTGGAAACAGGCTTTCATAGCTGCGTCTGCAGACAGCGAACATCAGGGTGGATCTCAGAGCTGATTTCTAGCACTGTCGTTCATTCAGGCTTCTGTGGCGTTTGATCAAACACACATTGAGCATCAGCAGACATGATGGAGAGAGATAATTCATCACTGAGCAGAGGCAGACGAGGTGCTGTGCGTGTGTGTGTGTGTGTGTGTGTGTGTGTGTGTGTGTGTGTGTCACGCATTAGTGATGAATGTTTCTGTGTCTCCTCTGATCTCTTGAGATCTTTAATGACTGATGCTTTCACACTATGCATGTGTAAGATGTCCAAGAAACAAATTAATGCACTGACATCAGATTAACTTTTCCTCTCATTTGAGACCAGGAACTATGTGTTGCTTCACTTCACTTTTGACCATTTTTACCTTGACTTGCTTTCTTAAATCTAAGTTTGCTGGTGTCAAATAAGTATATATATATATATATATATATGTATATGTAATATATCTCAAAGGTGAACTTTTTAGAAATTAAAAAATATATAAATTATATATTTAAGTTTTACAGATATATTTAAAAATTAATTGAAAAAAAAAAAAGCATGCTATTGTGAACCTGGCATTTTAGTAATTTCACATCTACCAGTACCTGATTTAGCATGATGCCTGGTGATCCACTCAGCTGGTGTGTGTGTAATTGTGCACGTTTATGTGAAAGTGAGATGCTTCGTGACCATTTTTGCCTTGACTTGCTTTCTTAAATCTAAGTTTGCTGGTGTCAAATAAGTATGTAGCTTAATACTTGATGACGTCACATCACACTGATTCCCTCGACAAAGACCAGTAGGATTTTTCCATTGTCTTTGGATTATTGCAGAAAATAAGCTCTGCAATGATTCTTACACATTTTGTTCATAATGATAATCTTCAGGAATGAAAACATGTATTAAAGGTCATATAGGCTATATCTCAAAGGTGAACATTTTTGAAATGTGATGACGGTGTGTGTGTAATTGTGCACGTTTATGTGAAAGTGAGATGCTTCGGCTCCACGTGAAGCTCTTATGTAAGAGTCTCAGCACAGGTGAGGAGGGTATTAATAACTTGCTTTCCCACCAGCAGCTCAAAGGTCTTCTCATCTCTTCCTTCCCCGTGATCCCGTCACATTCAGACTGTCTCTCTGTATCTGTAGAGTCAGTTTTCTGCAGAATCCCAGCAGGTTGTGCTCTCTGTCCTCTGAGGAACAAACCCAGCCGGAGCCTCTTGGGCCCCTCTTACCTTCTCACATGACTGGCCGCTTTTGGTGCAGATGGCAGATTCGCAGAAGGCCCGAGGAGAGCAGCTCGACACCCTTTCAAACGCAAACAGAGCCATATTGTTGTGCCGCAGATGTTTTTGATCGTGGCCGTTTACTGGCGTCTTGCTGATGGCGTGAAGCTCTCGGTGCTAATATGAGGAAACTGGATGCAGGGATGCCGTTTGTCTCTCTCTGCAGGGAGTCTGTTTGAGCCTGTTTTCTGAAACTGTCAAGCGAGCGAAGAGTTTTTGCTCTCTTTTGTTCTGAAGGAACAGTCTCTGAAGTGTTTAGCATGCAGCTCATCGCTGTCAGATGTTTCTGTGGATCCACTCGGGAAAACTGTCAGGCTGGATTAGAGTAGGAGTTTTGCTGGAGTGTCTCCTGTCTAAGATAATGAAGTGATGCTCTAATAAGCATAACAATACATGACACACAGACAGATTGGGTAGAATAGTTTCTTTTAAATTTGATTGAACATTTTTAGCTGTATTGAATTAATGTCATAATGTTGTCAAATAATTAACATCATATTAATAAAACGCACAGACATTCCTTTTAAATTAGATTTAAATGTTTTTTTTTTGTTTCTATTTGTTTTTATATTTTCAATAGTTTATCTATTGAATTAATGTCATCATATTGTAGAATAATGTTCACATTTATAATATTTATAAAAGGCACAAATATCCCTTATATAAAAAAATGTAATCATTGAATATTTTCAATATTTGATCTATATTGATTTAATGTCATAATTAAAATAATATTTAAAAAAATGTAAAGTTTATAAAATACACATACATTGCTTTTAAAGTAGATTAAACATTTGAAAAATATTTTTATATTAAAATATTCAATTATAATATATATTTTTTAATTTAATCCAAATTAAATTATTTACTGATTTATTATTTATATATATATTTTTTTTGCTTGCTTCATATTTGGTAAAAGCAAAATTGACTTGAGTGATGTAAGTTAAATCTCTGTCCCTAAAAACAATATTTTAAAATTTTTAATATTTTATCTATATAATTAATATTATAATATTTAATAATAATAACTTAGTATTTATAATCAGCATTTCTCTTGCTTTGTTTGATGGATGGATTTCTTTTACATTAAGCTTATTAGAATGTATTCTAAGATGTATTATAAAATATTTTTATTTGATTTTGATTTGTTTTTATCCATAAAGGATAAATATGTATTCTTTTCTTTTTTATTTATTTAATTTTTTAATATATAAATATATATATATTTCATTTTTTTTTATTTATTTTTTTTTTAATTTAATTTAATTTTATATTATGTTATATTATATTATTATTCATTTTTGGAATTTGTAAAAAAAATAATCTCTCTACCTTTCAAAATAAACTTATATTATGTTTTAAAAATATATATATTTTTTATTTTAATTATTTTTTCATTCTTTATTTTAATATTGTACCTATATTAAATTAATATCAAAACATTGCGTAATAATTAACAAAATATTTGTAGTCTTTCGTCTTGCTTAGTTTGCCTGTATGTAACGTCTGTAATGAATTCTGCCATTTTTATTTTTTCCATGAAGAATATATGCAGTACTGCTTTTGAATTGCATTTACTAAATCTACTCGGGTAATCTGAGATAAATATCTCTTTCTTTACTTCTATAATTATGCCTGCTCGCTGCTTATGATACCTTTAATCGCTGTCTATGTAAGCAGCTCAGAAGATTTTGGAGGCGAGCCTGTGTGTCCCGTCGACTCGCTGGCTGAGGATCCAGTCAGGATTAGATAGCCAGATCAGACCGTCGCCCCTGTGACCTAGGGGTCAACACATGGGAATCCTAGTCAGTTGCTCCAAATGTAATATTTAAATAGCCCACACTTCATTACTATGCTGAATAGAGCTGTAATCTGATAGCATTTGTGTCCTATCAGCGTCTCACATGATAAACAAGCCTCCAGTAGCTCAAGACGGCCTGGTGGAACAATAACCAATCCCTGTACTGATAATGCTGCTTTAGGATGGAAACCTCAGCGGCACTTATCAACGCACGGCCTGATTGATTGTTGTCCAGTTTTACTCGTGTTTGTTTTTGTTGTGGTGTTCAGGAAATGCTCATTTCCCGTCCTCTTTTGCCTGGTTTCAGAATTTGTAAATAGCAGCATGTATAATCAGGAGACTCGGCCGCACGAAGACAATGTCAGCTCTGTTACTCCGGTTTGAACCATGAGCGAAGTTCATTGTGTTGGGTTTTAAAGAGCCCTCAAGACCGCACGCGGATTCATTTCACATCTCGGTCATGTTAAGAGGTTTATGAAGTGCCACCGCAGAGCTGATTGTTTGCGCACGCTTTAGTGCTTCGGGGTTTTAATGTATATTTCCATCCCGTCCTGAAACGTGCCATATTTACAGTCGCTAATCTCTGAAAGCTCCCCGTATAATCCCTCCAAATATGTTAATTCTGATGATTGTTTGGAGTCAAACTCGAGAACCTCAGATTATGCACTTACATTAAAAATATAAAAATAAGGAATGTTCTAAAGATGTGCTTGGAGACAACGTGAAAGTGCATTTGCAATGCATTTAATGGCAGTAATTTCACGTTTTTGAGTGAAGCAACAATATTGAGTGTGGAAATAATATGGGGTGAGCATTTACTTTTATGCATTATCATTTGTGCGTTTGGCAGACACTTTCATCCAAAGTGAATTGAATTGCATACATTCGATCAGTTTATGCAGTCCCTGGGAATCAAACCCATAACGTTGGCATTTCTAGCATCATGCACGGGGTCAAAAAAGTACATGTTAATGCATAAAAGTTCATGCATTCATGTAAATGCATAAAAGTACATGTGCGTTTATGCATTTATATCAATGCATGTACTTTTATAAAATTACATGTACTTTTTAGCATTAACGTGTACTTTTTATGCTTTTTCATTGATGCATGTAATTTTATGAAATTACATGTAAAAGCATGAAAGTACATGCATTTATGTAGTTGCATAAAAGTACATAAATTAATGTAAATGCATAAATGTTAATGCATAAAAGTATCTGTAATTTTATAAAAAAGTACATGCATTAATGTAAATGCATCAAAGAACACATTTATGTACATGCATAACATTATATGCTTTATTGTATAATGCATAAAAGTGCATGCATAATGTAAATGCATAAAAGTACATGTAAATGTGTAAAAATACGTGCATTAATGCAAATGCATAAAAGTGCATGCATTATTGTAAATGCATAAAAGTATGTTAATGCATAAAAGTAAATACATTAATATAACTGCATAAAAGTACAAGCATAAAAGTACATGTATATTGTGTGAGAATCTTTTTTTGTGAGTAACTCTCTCTCTCCTGCTCTCTTTCAGATTGATCTGTTGCTCCATGGGGATTCTCCGGTGCTTTCCGTCTGGTTTCTCCTGCCCTTCACCCCTCGGCCTGCCCTCCACCCTCTACAACACCTCCTCCATACAAATCATGAAACTGGTATTAACTGAATGGCAATTGATATGGATTTTTACTGTTTCCAATAGACAGTAAACACACTTACACCACACCACACACACACACACACAATTACATGCACATACACCCACCCACACACACACACACACACACACTCACACTCACACTCACACACATCACATCAGCGGGAGTGACCTCATGGTAGAGTCATATCCTCCCCAACTGTCCGAACCAAATCCCCCGACACGGCCCGTCCCAGAGCTCCTGCAAGCGGCCTTCATCAAACGTCACATTTCGGGATGCTTTACGCTCCTTGAGTGCGATCCACAGCAGATTTCCTCCGCAGAAGGGCATCCGCGGGAAGCGGTGTGCTGCTGTTGGCTTTATTCTTCATAGATTTTTTTTTTTGTTTTGCGTTATTTTGTGTGTGATTTTGCGTGGAGCCACACGTGACCCCTGCTCTGAGTGCATGCCGACGACGATGGCCCCGCAGAACCCCGAGGCCGACGCCGTGCAGATGCAGGCCGCCGTGGTGACACCTGTGGAGAAACGGGCTGGAGGAGGTGGAGCTAATGGAGTGGGTGGGGCTGGAGGGCGGGATTTGGAGAGTCAGGAGGAGTCGGTCAGCGAGGGATCTATAGACCGCATCCCGCTGCGTCAGTGGATCATGCACGGCGCCGTCATGTTCGGACGAGAGTTCTGCTACGCCATGGAGACGGCGCTGGTCACACCTGTACTGCTGCAGATAGGTGAGACAACTGACCATTAACTATTAGATTATAATAAACCAAATCATACAGTATGACATGATCGGATGCACCCAGCATAAAGAGAGCTCTGTTCTGATATGGATTATTCTTTAACCAATGCTGATAATAGGAGGATTAAACGCCAATTTATACTTATTAAACGTATATAATTTTTATAATAATTACAATTATATTTAAATATTAATAATTAAATATATATAATTTATTATTCATTGTTTAAATACATTTGTAATTAATTAATTATTATCTAAATTTATAGTAACATTCATATATGCATTTAATATATTATTATAATATAATTTAATGAATACAATTTTTATTTACTCAAAACCAACTGGAAAAATGACAGCTTTGATTAAGGTGTCAGTACATTTTGAAACTGAATCTAATGTTTATACCGTTGAATAGTTCTGCTAGAAAGATGAAGACACTTTAATGAGAGTTGGAACAATTTGAGCCACAGACAAACACATCTAGTTGACTAGATTAACTGTACTAGACATCCCACGATGAACTGAATAATCTGCACAGACATGTAAATCTAATATTTGTGATTTCTGGCCAGTTTATATTGTCTTCACTCTCAGTGTTTTTGACAACCAGCCTCTCCAGCTGCATGCCTGTATGCCAAAGAAACACCTCCACTTCTCTGAACTCTCTCTCTCTCTCTCTCTCTCTCTGTCTGTGAGTGAGTGTGTCTGTGAGTGAGTGTGTGTGTGTGTCTGTGAGTGTGTGTGTGTGTGTGCGTTTTTGTGACAAATGAGGACATCAATTTGTATAATGACAAAGGTATGACATAGGTATTACAAGGAGAAGGTGACTTTTCAGGACATTACCCCATGTCCCCACTTTTCAAAACGCTTATAAATCACACAGAATGGAGTGTATTGAAAAGTTGAAATAGCACAAAGTTTCCTGTGAGGGGGAGGTTTAGGGGTAGGGTTGGTGTAGGGCAGGGGTGGCGAACGTCGGTCCTGGCGAGCCGCAGTCCTGCAGAGTTTTGCTTCAACCCTAATCAAACACACCTGAACAAGCTAATCAAGGTCTGAACGGTTATTAGGAAGCTACAGGCAGGTGAGTTTTAATTAGGGTTAGAGCTGAACTCTGCAGGGCTGCGGCTCTCCAGGACCGGAGTTCGCCACCGCTGGTGTAGGGCAATAGAATATACGGTCTGTACAGTATAAAAACCATTACGCCTATGGGATGTCCCCACTTTTCACAAAAGTAAACCTGTGTGTGTGTGTGAGTGACATGCCAGGATAAAGACATTTAAGGGGCTGTGGGACGTATGCTGCATGACTCGCCTGCCAGTTTATAGATTATGCAAATGACACCCCAGGCCTTTATATTGCTGAAAAATATGCCGCTTTGTCATGCAAGCAGCTGTGAACCTGGAGGAGCAGAGGGGCTTTTGTTCTTCATAATCATCATGTTTTATTGAAGAAGTCCATTTTTGTCAACAGGAAGTCCATCAGCCACATGTGGTCATGTGACAATAGTGATTGTTGTGATATGGATTACTTCTATCTACTTATACGTTTTTAAATCTATTATTGCTGAACTTTCTTTGTGCCTTTTCTTTACACTAATAGTCAAAAGTTCGGTATGATTCGTAATAGTTTTTGAATGAAGTCTCTTCTGCTCACCAAGGCTGCATTTAATTGATCAAAAATACAATAAAATCAGGAAAATTGTGAAATATTATTACAACTTAAAATAAAAGATTTCTGTTAGAATTTATGCTAAAATGTAATTTATTGCTGTGATCAAAGCTGAATTTTCAGCATCATTACTCTAGTCTTCAGTGTCACATGATCCTCCAGAAATCATTCTAATATGCTGATTTGCTGCTCAAGAAACATTTCTGATTATTATCAGTGTTGAAAATGCATGAAAAATGGCAAATGCATAAATGTAAATATCGACAATTCTCACTGCTCTTCTTTTTGTTTTTTCACCCGTTTACGCTGCAGCACCTGTTTGCTATTAGCTACGCTTCTCACCAGAACTAGCTAGTGTACCAGGACACTAACTGAAGACATTGTTTTTGAGCAGTATTTTTCTCTCCCTGAGGGATGATCCATTATTTATTGTGCTGTAACTGTGTCATTTCAATGAACTGGTTCATCAAAAGTAGATGAGCTGATTCAGTCATTGCTCAGTTGTGTGCACAATATCATGTGCATGTTATTTTACTTAGCTTTTTTTTGTTTTAGTTTTTTTTAGTAAATTTTGTAACAAACAATAAGGCCCCATTAGTTAATGCATTAAAGAATAAGTCCACTTCCAGAATAAAAATGTCCTGATAAATGCTCACCCCCATGTCATCCAAGATGTTCATGTCTGTCTGTCTTCGGTCGCAAAGAAATTAATTAGTAGACTTCAGTGATGGCCAATGATTTCATGGTCAAAAATGCAGTTTCAATGCAGCTTCAAAGGGCTCTACATGATCCCAGCCGAGGAATAAGGGTCTTATCTAGCAAAACGATCTGTCATTTTCTTAAACACTATATATTTATACACTTTTTAACCACAAATGTTTGGCTAGCATTAGCTCTGCAATGCGCATCTTTATTAGGTGATATTGGAAAGGTCATCGTGACGTAGGTGGAAGTACCGGCCCAGTGTTTACAAAGTGAACGTGCAAAAAAAGTCAAATGGCCTTTACAAAAAAGGTAAAACAACGATGTCAGATGATTTTAAACTTGGAAGAGAAAATGAGATGGAGTTTTTAAACAAAGTACAAAGACGAAGAAGTAACCTTTCCAACAGGATTACGTAATGTGTGAAGACGTGCATGCGCATCGCAGAGCTAGAGCAAGCCGAACATTTGTGGTTAAAAAGTGTATACATTTTTTCCGAAAATGACCGATTGTTTCACTAGATAAGACCCTTATTTCTCGGCTGGGATCGTGTAGAGCCCTTTGAAGCTGCATTGAAACTGCATTTTTGACCTTGAAATCGTTGGCCACCATTGAAGTCCACTATATGGAAAAAAAAATCTGGAATGCTTTCCTCAAAAAACGTAATTTCTTTGTGACGGAAGAAAGGAAGACATGAACATCTTGGATGACATGGGGGTGAGTAAATGATCAGAAAATGTTTATTCTGGAACTGGACTTATCCTTTAACAATCAGCAATACTTTTGTTGCAGTAAGCGGATTAAAAAAATAGTTCAGTGTTAATTCATGTTAGCTCGGGTCTATTAAATAATATTAACAGATACGACATTTGATGTGGATGAGTTTGTTTCTTCATCAGATTTGAAGAAACAGCATTGCATCACTTGCATTAAGATGTTTTAATTTCAAACTGTCAATACTGCATATTTCTCTCCTGATGCAGACGAGATGACTACACTGGAGAAAGCAATATTATGCATATTTTAGCTGGGAGTGGTGTGGATTACTTTTGCATTACTTGTCTGCTCAAAAGTAGAATGCTAAGTTTGAAATTAAGCACTTTTCCAAAAGGGTAACTTGATTGTTGTTTACGTGATTGTTGGTAACTTAGCTCTTGTTGGTGATTTATAGAAGCTAATGGCGAGTTTTCCGGGTTTAAAGGTATTAAGTCATCAGGTCAAGGCCAGTTGTGAGTGACTTGATGTTATCATGCAACATGCTAATTTTAGAGCCCTATGTGAGTTTGCGTCTGTGAAGATCAGGCACTCACTGTCCAAACTATAATGGCAAAGGATAAGAGGATTTCTGGAGGTTGAGCCACCCTTGTTCACCTGCTGTCAGAGAGAGAGAGTGTGTGTGTGTGTGTGTGTGTGTGTGTCTACCTTTCCAACAGGATTACGTAATGTGTGAAGACGTGCATGCGCATCGCAGAGCTAGAGCAAGCCGAACATTTGTGGTTAAAAAGTGTATACATTTTTTCCGAAAATGACCGATTGTTTCACTAGATAAGACCCTTATTTCTCGGCTGGGATCGTGTAGAGCCCTTTGAAGCTGCATTAAAACTGCATTTTTGACCTTGAAATCGTTGGCCACCATTGAAGTCCACTATATGGAAAAAAAAATCTGGAATGCTTTCCTCAAAAAACGTAATTTCTTTGTGACGGAAGAAAGGAAGACATGAACATCTTGGATGAGTAAATGATCAGAATTTTTATTCTGGAAATGGACTTATCCTTTAACAATCAGCAATACTTTTGTTGCAGTAAGCGGATTAAAAAAATAGTTCAGTGTTAATTCATGTTAGCTCGGGTCTATTAAATAATATTAACAGATACAACATTTGATGTGGATGAGTTTGTTTCTTCATCAGATTTGAAGAAACCGCATTGCATCACTTGCATTAAGATGTTTTAATTTCAAACTGTCAATACTGCATATTTCTCTCCTGATGCAGACGAGATGACTGCACTGGAGAAAGCAATATTATGCATATTTTAGCTGGGAGTGGTGTGGATTACTTTTGCATTACTTGTCTGCTCAAAAGTAGAATGCTAAATTTGAAATTAAGCACTTTTCCAAAAGGGTAACTTGATTGTTGTGTACGTGATTGTCGGTAGCTTAGCTCTTGTTGGTGATTTATAGAAGCTAATGGCGAGTTCTCCGGGTTTAAAGGATTAAGTCATCAGGTCAAGGCCAGTTGTGAGTGACTTGATGTTATCATGCAACATGCTAATTTTAGAGCCCTATGTGAGTTTGCGTCTGTGAAGATCAGGCACTCGCTGTCCAAACTATAATGGCAAAGGATAAGAGGATTTCTGGAGGTTGAGCCACCCTTGTTCACCTGCTGTCAGAGAGAGAGAGTGTGTGTGTGTGTGTGTGTGTGTGTGTCTGTGTGTGTGTGTCTGTTTCAGGGTGACGTATGATGGATTATTATTTAAAAAATTCACTGAATTTGTAATGGCTGGATTAGCCACAATAGCTCACGGTTAGTTTAGATGCATGAAGTGGGAAATTATACTGTCAGACTGGATGTGGTGCTCAACATGACGACATTTTAAGACTAGTTCAGATCCAGA